CACCCCAAGACGACCCAGGAGGCTGTCGAAAGCGCCCGAAAACAGCCCAACAAGACGGCACAAAACGGTCCCAACACTACCCACGAGGCCCCCAAGACGGCCGAATGGACCCCCAAAAAGACATGAAAAGGCCCCCCAAAGTGGAAGCACCAGCCGACATGTCGAGACTTCCGCCCCAAGGAGCGCCCAAGAAACCCCTAAGAGGCCCCCGAGAGGCCCAAGAGAGCCTCACGAACACTCCCAAAACAACCCTGGGAGGATGATGCTCCATAAGTTTGAATGTATTTCGTCGCTGTCGTCGTCATCTTGAGTTCCTCCTTCTCCAGATGGAATGAAGAGTTGGATCATGTTGCATGTTCCTCTTGTTGTCTTGTCCTGATCCTCCTCTGCCTCCTCCCAGAGCCAGGAAAGACCGACGACGTCAACGAACGTACAGGCGGATAAACAGGACTCGCGGATCAAGACTACAAGGGCCAAGGACACCAACGCTGGGGCAGTGGGACAGGCGTGTGGGGCGGCTTGGAAGTTCCTCCTTCTTCTTCAGGAGCTTCTCCCTCCTCTCTTTGGCCACTTTCAATTTCTCCTCCACCTCGCGGGAAGAGGAGTCGGAGACTGCAGCATGGACCAGACACGGCAGCACATTGCATAGCAGAGACAAGGGGAATAATAAGGGGGTCAGCGAAATGAAGCGGAAGGAACAGGGGAGAGCCCAAACCATGATTGCGATCAGAAGTCCGAACATAATCCTGCCGAAAATCTAATCAAAATGCCTGACATGTTTGGTGGAAGCCCTTGGGGACTCCAGCCGGCCCCCGGAAACATCTGGAGAAGCTCGTGCCGAGAGCTGCACACAATATACAAACACGCCCATGCGCGGGCATGCGCCCAATTGGCCCAACGAATACTCGCGAATCGCAGCGTTCCGTCCGTGGTCGTTGACCGTCATGTGAGCTTGGCCACACGCGACGCGCAACATGTTTCAGCGTTCCCCCCCAGGGAGCACAAGATAAGTGAGCCCCGCGCGCGGAATAGAGACTGCACGGCGGCCACTCCTCCCGCGCGCTCAGACACTGGATGGCGTCTCATGCGCCCGACCGCGCCCAAGAAACAGCCAGCACGCGCCCAGGTAATTACCCCCCAAAGGCGTCAAGACGCTCACCAAGACGCCTACGAGGCCTCACCCGCAGACGCCGACATCCTCATGTTACGCTCTCTTTCACGATCACATGTTGTTACACTTCTTACGCTTCAGTATCCCATGCCCAGCGACGCGAGCAAAGTTGGCCTCGCGCCCTAGAAAAGCACCCCGACGAAGCCTCTCGCTACATGGGCCCGAACATCCAAACGCCTCCCACGACCTCGCCGTGAATCATCTCTCTCCGAGCAGTCTTTGCACTCCAGCAGGTGCTCATTCCCCGGGGCCCGGGCGACGCGCTCGCGAAGCGCGAAATGCTGGTCGCGAGCGGCGCATTGCAGCTCCTGTTTCGCGGCCTCGCCTGCTCTTGCTGCGTTCGCGGCGCGCCCGGCGTTCGCATCGCAGCCCTTGCGCGCCACCCTTTCCCCCGCGCGCAACTGGCCCTCTCTGCGGGCCCGGGCGACGCGCTCCCGCCGCGCGAACTTCTCGTCGCAAGAGGCGCATGGCAGCTCCCGCTTCGCGGCTGCATCTGCTCTTGCCTCGCGCGCGCGGCGTCCCCGATTTTCGCTTCATACGCCGACACTCGGCGCACTCCGCGCGCGCCGGCTCGCTCGCGAGCCCTGCTCGCTGCGCGGTGACGACGCGCCCATGCGCAGCGACTGCTCACGTCGCGCGCGCGTCAGGTATGTTTCTTGCGCGGCCGCGCGCAGCTGCTCTTTCCCTTCCGAGACTTTCGACGATCGCGCCGCGCGCTTCCTCTCCCGCCCCCGCGCTTTCTCGGGCGCGCGCAAGGCGCGCGACCTCTCGCGCGCGCGGATTTCACGCCGCGCGCCACGTGCCATTCGGGCCGCGGCTTCCCCCGCGCGCTGCGCGCGCGCCGCGCATGCCGCGAACCTCCATTCTCGACGAGAATGTTCTTCGCGCAGGCCTCGCGCGCGATCCCGCCGCCCCTTGCCCCGTTCCTTGCCGAACTCCGGCCCAGCCGTCATCTTGCCGCAGTCCGCGCTAGCCCCCCACCCCACCCCGCCCCGCAACGCTGGCGCCGGCGGGCCCGCGCCGAGCGGCGCGCCCTCCGCGCGCGGCCCCCGCGCGAATGGCGCGTCAACCAGCGGCTCTTTCCGCTGCGCCACCCGCGCCATTGCGGAGCAACTCGGCATGCCCACCGCGCTGCGCCCAACTTAGAGGTCAGCGAGCACGGCGTCTAGACCCTTCCATGCGCGGTGCGCGCAGCGCGCGCCATCGCCGGCGTCGCGCGCAGCTGCCGCCTCTTCGCTGCCAGCGCAAGCCTCTTCTTGTAGCTGTCAATGACGCAGGCCTGCTGTGCCCAGCAAACTGCGGGGCGAATCTTTGCCCGCCCCGCCGCGGTCTGGAACCCGGCGGTCGCGCGTTGCTCGCGGCGCGCAGCTCCGCGGGCGCGCCGCGCGGGGCGCGCCGCGCGTCGCGCCGTCGCTGGGCACGTCGCGCGGCGCGACCACTGTCCACTGCGAATCAGACGCGCGCCCCATCAGTAGTCAACCCTCGCGATGCGTAGATGCAACGCAGCGGCGTGGATCGGCGCGGAACTGACCAGCGCGCATGCGCTGATTGTCGAATTGTTTATTCATTAGTTGTTCCGTCGCTTGCTCTTTGCCCCCGGCCCCTCATCCGCGCCCTTCCTATCCCCCTCGTTCCGCCCCCTCTCATCGTTGCCCTTTCCGTTCCTCCTCCTCCTGCAACCCCGCTCCTACAGCGTAGTGTCATTGGAATCGGGTCGACTTCTTGGTAGAGCCTGCAGCCCCCCCCCCTTCCGCATGTCCGATGTCGGCCGCTCCGATCGCCCCCCGCGGCGGGGCGACGCTGGGTCTTGCTCGCGGCGGCCCATCGAATGGGGTCTTTTGCCCGTGGCGAAGTCAGCCATTGATCGCCTCTTGTTTCTCCTGCGGGGCGTTCGCGGCAGCGGCAGCGAGCAAAAAAAGCCGGGGACAAATCGGGTGCCGGCCTGGCTCCTTCGCCCCTTTCGCGCGCCACTCAGCCGCGTCGCAATCGAGCCCGACCGCGCTCGGAACCCCGCGGAACTGCCGCTCGGCGCCGCCGCGGCGCGCTTCATTTTCCCCCCGCGCGGCGACTCCGAGAACATGGCCCACGCGTCCTCGCAGACGCTGCTTCTCGGTGGTCGATCCAGACTGTCCACCGACAGCATGGGCATCTCCAGGGCAATCGGTAATACGCCACGCAGTTCCCCACAGTTCTTGTCGCGGTGGCTCAGCCGCCAATTCTTGGCCTTTCTAATGAGGCGTCTCCTGGCACGACGGGCGCATTGATTTGACCGCCTCGCGCGACCGCAAAACCTACCGCCACGTTCGCTCTCGCCCATGCCCGCGCGCGGGAATTCGCCGCGCGACACTCTAGATCGCCGTCGGAAAGATAGCATTCGAGGCCGCGAACAGAGGGCCCAGGCAGCAGCACGAGTCATCGGGCCCAGAGGCGACGAAAGTCCGCATTCCACGCTCGCGCACGCACTCGCCGCGCCCCGCGGCGCTGTTCCTGGCTGCGCGCCTCGCTCCGCACGTTGCCCTTCCGGCCGCCCTCGTTTCCGGCGCGCTTGTCGGGCGCCCGCGCCAGAGAGCGCGCGGCAGCATGCGAGTCGGCCGCCGAAGCGCCCTCGCGGAACGCCGCCGGCGGCGTTGAGCCGCGTCATGACAATCCACGCGTTACGTCATTGAAAAGCCTCCACTCGTCGCTGCAATGGGCACAAATGGGATGTCGGGCTCCGGAGCCTTCTCTGCTCCGCACAGGCAGCCAGTTGTACCTTGCCGTGCTCGCCCCTGCACGCCTTCTCCTCCTCCTCTTCCTCCTTCTCCTCCTCCTCCTCCTCTTCCCCTTCCTCCTCGTCGTCGTCCTCGTCATCCTCAACATTGTCATCCTTCTTATTCTTCTTCTTCTTCTTCTCGTTCTTTTGCTTCTTCTTCTCCTCCACCTCCTCCTCCTCCTCGTCCTCCTCCTCCTCCTCCTCCAACTCCTCCTCCTCCTCCTCCTCCTCCTCCTCCTCCTCCTCCTCCTCCTCCTCCTCCTCCTCCACCGCCCCCTGCTCCCCCGCCTTCTCCTCCTCCCCCCCTCCTCCTCCTCCTCCTCCTCCTCCTCCTCCTCCTCCTCCTCTCCTCCTCCTCCTCCTCCCCTCCCCTCCTCCTCCTCCTCTCCTCCGCCTCCTCCTCCTCCTCCTTTTCCTAGCCGCGTCTTCGTCAGCCTCGTCCTCCTCGTCCTCGTCCCCCTCGTCCTCCTCCTCCTTGCTACTCCCTCTTTTCCTCCTCTCTCTCCTCTTCCTCCTCCTCTTCCTCCTCCTCGTCCTCCTCCTCCACTTCGTCCTCGCCCTAGTCTTCGTACTCCGCCGTGCCTTCCTCATCATTGGCCCGCCCTTCCTTCTCCTGCGCGGTCCTTCTGGGCCATTGCTCTCCCCCGTCCTCACTTCCTCCTCCTCCTCCTCCTTTTCCTCCTCCGCCTCCTCCTCCGTCTCCTCCTCCTCCTCCTCCTCCTCCTCATTCTCTGGTCTTCCTCTGCACAAGGCATAACTGGGCAACCCGTCGACGGCCCAAGACTCACGGAGACGGCCCGAAAAATCGCCCCGAAGGTCCCAAAGCATTCCAAGGGGGAGCCGAGGATGTGGTACACATTTGTTATGTCCGAAGAGGGTTTGCGAACACAACAGAACATCCGTCGAACCCGGGGATGCGCGGAGTGCCAAGGCGTGCGCAACCTTGTCTCTCTATTCCGTGCTCTAGCCTCCCCCAGTGCCCTACCCAAGGATAAGCGAAAAGAACACGAACACGCATTACAAGACATCCAACACGACAGCAAAGGCCACAAAGACAACCATGGAGGGCCTCAGCCCCTAAGAAACGAAGAAATGCAGAATTCGGCAATTCCTGGAGCCTTCCCGCACACCATGGCCCCACAAACCCCGAACATCTCCCTCAAGCTGGGCGCCAACACCCAACACCCGGAGGAGTCCTCAAAGACGATGGCCTCAAGACTGCCCAAGAGGCCCCAAGAGGGCTCCGAGACGATCCCCGAGAAAGCCCCAAGAAGCAAGAATCGTCCCAATCCCTTGGTTTTAACAGCGTCCAAGACGGTCCAAGAGGACCCCAAGATCGCTCCAAGACGACCCAAGAAGCCCCCAAGAGAACCCCAAACCGGTCGAAGAAGGTCCCAAGACTGCCCAAGAGGCGCCCAAGATGGGCCAAGAGAGTCCCAAGAGGGCCCCTAGAGTGGCCCAAGAGAGGTACCTCGAACTGACATTCCAAGCCCTTCGCCCTGAGAGGACCCCCGGGACCGCCAGCGACGCCCAAGAAACTCCCAATGGGCCCGAAGAGGCCCCCAGAACGCCCACAAGAAGCCCCCAGAGGGTCCCCAAGAAGCCCCCACAGGCCTCACCCGTGGACTTCATCTTTTTTCTGGGAGTCAAATGGATGGCGTAAGCGGCGTAAGCCTCTTGACTAAATCCGCCGATCCGGCGTGAGTTTCAAGGAGTCTCAGCTACAGCCTCGAGGCTGAGCCTCAGCCTCTGGGGGGGTTGCCGGGGTGGCTCTGCCGGGGAAGGGGGGGTGGGGGGGGGGGGCGAGTTTCCGGCGGATGCGTTTTTTGACACCCCTCACAAGGATCGTGGCCTCCGAGGGGGTTCCGAACTCGAGTACCACCCCTCCCGCACCAAGAGGCTCCGAGGAGGCCTCCAAGAGGCCCCAAGGGGCGCAGAAGAGGCCCCCAAGAAGCCCCAAGAGGCTCCCAAGAGACCCCCAAGAGGCCCTCTAGTGGCCCCAAGAGGCCCAAGAGGCCCCCAAGAAGCCCCAAGAGGCGCCCAAGAGGCCCCCAGAAGTCCCAGCCAACCACGAGATCCCAACCAGCATCCATGAGGCCTCTGACCCACCACCCACGCGCGGTGGCGGGATAGGCCGACGGCCACTGGATAAATGCTGAGTGAGAGGAGGGGAGGGAAAAAGAGAGGAGGGACGAGGGCGAAGAAGGATCACATCAGTCGGAGCGCCCCGGGTCGGCGGCACTGGCCGAAGGCCACTACAATATCCGCCACCGCGCTTGCAGCGGGCCGGGCCTTTTGTTTTTGATATGTTGCTTCCTGCGGAGCACCGATGCCCCCCCACCCCCACCCGACGCGTCTACGAGAGGCCGAAAGAAGGAAATGTAGTTGGTTGTTGCACAAGTTTCGTGTTCTCGCCCTGTTGATTCTCACCGCATCCACGACGACCCAACATGTCCCTCAAGAGCTCCAAGACGGCAAAGGAGGCCCCTGCTACTCCGCCAAGAGGCCCCCAAGAGGCCACACAGAGGCTCCCAAAAACTCCACAAGGCCCCCCAGGAGCTCCCAAAAACTCCACAAGAAACTCAGCCCCAGGGATCCCCAAGAGGCCCCACGTCCCCGAGAAACCCCAAACAAACCCAAGAAGCTCGAGAGAACCTCGCAAAGAAGTCCCGAAATGTTCCTCGAGAGGCCCCGTGAGGGCATCGACACACGCAGCAGGCAGGCACCGTCGGCAAGGGCTGCGTTTTATGTTCACGCCCGTTCTCGGCTCACCTGCACCGACACAGGCTGCTTTTCATGTTAACGCCCTTTCCTTGCGTACCTCCAACGGCGCGTTCCGAAACGGCCGCAATCGATGTGGTGCAACATGCGTGGTGCAATGTGGGTGATTGATTCAACCAATGTGGTGCAGCCGGTGCGTCGCGCAATTAAGTGCATCCCTTCCCGCACTGCGGGCCTCTCTCGCTAGCGCGGTGACGGGTATGCGCGGCAGCGCAACTGGATTCCATTCAAGGGATCAGCGAAGGAAACTGGAGCGAACATAAACATCATTCTAATTCATCGCGTGCGACCTATTTAGGTCAAACAACAACGCTGCGAGCATGTCGGTCAAACAACAACGCTGCGAGCATGTCATACACTGCCACACGAACAATGCACTCAATCAATCCCTCTCGGCTAAACCCGAACTCCCAATTTACAGGAGGTGGAGAGGCTCCGATGCTGAAGACGGCCGCAGACATGCAACCACATGAGTACCACACTCCTTTTGAACCCACTCCCACCACAGAAACACTCAAGTGGACAAGAAGACGCCAGGGTCTTCTTTAGAGACTCCTTCCCAACCTCTAGCGCACTCCGAAGGGACACCCTGGGATGACCAACGTACGACATTGCCGTCACGCGCGTACGATGCATTGTACACCGCACAAGACATACCCAATACACAAAACATAGTAACGTTTGTTTAGAAGTGGCAGCGCACTTCACGTCCAACTCTCCCCACACCACCCCCTCTCCCAATCAACGCAACTACCTACATAGTTCCTACCTCTGGAATGCAGACGGTCTTCGCCACTCCTCTTGCTTTTGTTTGTCGTCATCCTCCTCTGCGCTACATGCCGCTGATCATGACCCTCCTCCTCATCATCCACCACCTCCTCCTCCTCCTCCTCCTCCTCCTCCTCCTCCTCCTCCTCCTTCTCCCTCCTCCTTATGCCTCCAGCTCCTGCTCCTGCTCCTGCTCCTGCGCGCCACGCGGGTCCCTTTGCCGCTGACGCACTTTAGTCGGGAGCTGGCGCAACCCCCACACCGCAGATGCGACCCGCCGCTCAGTGGCGAGCCACCCCCAGGGAGGAGGGGGTGCGCCAGCCAGTGCCTATACCTCGCACGCCTGGGACCAGGACGGCGACGTCCGGGATGGCGCGGGCGGCCGCGACGGCTGGTTGCCTGCCAGCGCCAGCGGCCCCCCATCACCCAGTGGCGGCCGCGCCCGCGCACCGCCGCTGCTCGCGCCAGCCCGGCCCAGCGCGAGCGCACACGCGCCCGACCAATTCCGCGCAGTCGCCGAGCTCCGCGGGTGTTCAGGTGCCCGCTGGTCCCTGCGCCTGGCGCGCTGCGGCCTGGTCGCCAGGCGCGGCCGCTGGCGCCTCCCTCCAGGACGGGGGCGCGGGGCGGCTGGCCAGCGGGCACCAGCCGCATGGCGCCGGCGCAGCGCTGCGACTCCGGCGGGAGCAGGGCCCGCGAGGGTGCCAGAGCGCCTCGTGCTGCCCCCTGCGGCTGCGGCGCACGCCGCCTGCTCTTCTTTGGCTGCTGCAGGTACGTCGTCGCCCTCGGCGCCCTCTATGCCTGCTGCCCGCCAGGGCCATGGAGTCTGGCCGCGCGACGGCGCTGGCAACTCGCCACGCTACGGCAGAATGCAACGCAATGCTACTTTCCTGCCGTAGGGTAGCGCCCAAAACAAGTACTTCGGCATCGCCGACGGCCATGACCGCGAGCATGCGGATGACGGCTAAGGCGCGCTCGCCTGCCGGACCGCCGATCTCAAACACACACGGCGTCACGTTGAGACCGGCGTCCCGGCGGCGTTTCTCGCGTTCCTCCTGGGCCGCCGCGGCTCCATCTCGGCCGGCGGCAGTGCGCACCCTAGCGGGGTCCGGGTGGGCAACCACAATGGCGACGTCCAAAGCCACTCGTCTGCCATCGTAGTTGAAAACCACGTCGAGCACGTCGCCCGGCGAGTCCCCGTCATCGGCGTCCTCGAGCATGCCCGCCCGCAGGCTCTCCAGAGGCTGTTCCTTGAGCGCACTGGGGTCAACGTACTTCGCGGCGAAGCGCAAAACGATGTCCCGTACCTCGCTATGGCCTCCAAGAGTTCCGCCGCCCACCTTGCACCTTGCCGCGTGCACGAGGCCAACGATCCCTCCCGGCAGCGCCCCGCATGCACCCCGTCGCCCGGTGTGCTGACAGTGCGTCACCGCTGTCACAGGAGACATGATTTGGTCGCTCCTGGGCCGCCGCCCTGGCGCAGCCGGCCCCTGTGCACCTCTTCTGGAAGCTGGTGAAAAAGGTCCGCCCGCGCCACGAACATGCCGGCGCCCGTCAACTCCCGCTGCAGGTGCGTCGGCGGTTCCTGCGTGAAGTCCAGCTTGCGGTCCTCGTGCCGTAGGATGGGCGACAGTGTCAAGCGCTCCTCGCGCGCCCTCCGCAAGTCCGCCGCCAAAGCCGGGAAGGCAGCTTCTAGACCAGCATCTGCGTAAATGGGAGCCCCACCGTATTGCCTCCACAACTGGTGTCGCCACCCGGCGAAGGGGGGGGGGGGCGGAGGATAAAGTATGAGGAGAACGAGGAGGGAGTGCAAAAGGGAGGGGAAGTGGAGAGCGGGGGGAGGAGGAGGAGCAGGACCAGGAGCAGGAGCAGGAGCAGGATAAGGATGAGGATGATGATGCTGATGATGATGATGATGAGGAGGAGGAGGCGGAGGAGGAGGAGGAGGGGGAGGAGGGGGAGGCGGAGCAGGAGAGGGGGGGTGGAGAATGAGGAGGAGAATGGCCCCCCGCCGTCTGCTTGCCGTCTTTCCCGTTCTCCGCCATCTCCGACGGGGCAGCTTGGGGGCCATCGGCTCTGCCGCCCTCGGCGGCCGCGGGGCGTTGAGGGAGGCCCTCCAGAGGGGAGGGGCCCTCCAGTTGGGAGGGGGGAGAACGATGATGGATAGATGGAGGGCGGGAGAAGATCCGACGCTTAAAACGAAAAGTGACGCTCCTCCTCCTCCTCCTCCTCCTCCTCCTCCTCCTCCTCCGCCTCCGCCTCCTCCTCCCCTCCTCCTCCTCCCCTCCCCCTCCTCCTCCTCCTGCTCCTCCTGCTCCTCCTCTTGCTCCTCCTCCTGCTCCTGCTCCTCCTCCTCCTCCTCCTCCTCCTCCTTCTCCTCCTCCTCCTCCTCCTCCCCAGAGATCCGACGCTCCAAAAAATTTGAGCGTCGGGTTTGGGGGCCCTCTTCTGGCATCGGGAACGTCAAAAGACGACTCAGGACGAAACACTGGCCCTCGGGAAGTGGTCCAGACCTCCGGGGCCCGCGCAGCGGAAACATTGGAGCGGCCGGTTGTTTGATGTTTTCTGTTGATGTTCTGGGTGGGGCTTGGATGGAGAGGGAGAGAGATGATGGGATGGAGGAAGTTGTTGTTCGTAACGTTCATCAAAATATCATTGCAACGGCAAGATACTTTGGACGACGGCTCGGGGTGAGAAGCGGCTCCATGGGGACAGGCGACCACGCGTGAACCCAACACCTTGCAGGCCAGATCCCTGAAAAACCGTCGAAGACTCTCGATGGCACCGCGCCCGAGATGGCCTGGCACGAAGAACATCAGGGCACCCAGACAGGCGGAGAGACACTCGTTGCTCCACGCTGCTCCTGGGCAGGATGGGTGGATGGAGAAGGATGGGTGGATGGATTGCTCGACGTTGCTTGTTCTCTTGGGCCTGCGGCTCCACAGGCCTCCCGGAGCCTCCAGAGGGGGGCTCCTCCAGCTGGAAGGAGGGAGAGTGGGAGGACGAGGGACATGCTTGCACTATGTGCCCCTACTCTGGACGCACGTCCAACCCGACCATACAGCACAACACCTTGTAGCGTATCGTTTTCCGTGCGGTGTCCAGAAAGCGCACGCCACGGAGCTGACACTATAATATGCCAGAACGTGCGCGCCGCCCTTGCGTGGCCGACGCGCATCTAGCCTAAGAGTGCTTGGGTGGAGCCGAGAGAAGGATGGATGGATGGACGGAGGGCGGGAGATTGATTGTTTCATGGTCTTTGCTCTCTTGAGCCTGCGGCTCCACAGGCCTTACGGTGCCTCTGGGGACCTCTAAAAGCCTCCATAGACCTCCGCGGGCCTTTCCAGGAAAGAGCGAGTCAGGAAAGAGGGAGAGAGAGCGAGAGAGCGTGGGAGGGGAGGCAGAAACTGGAGACTCTTGCCCATCAGAGTCTCTCGTGGGGTGAGCTCTATCGTGGGGGTTCTAGAAGAATCTGGAGCTTTTCCCGCAAGCTTTCTTCCCTCCTCCTCCTCCGCCTGTCCCATCCCACTTCCCACCCTCCCCCTCCCCCTCCTCCTCCCCTCCTCCCTCTCTCCCCCTCCCCTCCCTCCCCCTCCCCCCCTACCCCCCTCTCCATCCCTCTTCTCCCTCCCCCCTCCCCCTTCCCCCCCCCTCCCCCCCCCCCTCACCCTCGACGGAAAGAGGGAGGCCCAAAGAGCGAGACCTCTCTATCCTCTCCCTTTTTCTCTCCGCTCCTCCCATCTCCTTCCCCCGCCTTCGGTCCTCCCGTGCCCTCTCCACGAAGACTGGAATGAAACAAGATGCGTTCTCTGAGCCACAGGTCCCATCACCGACAAGCACACTACACAGGGCGATGCTCCATCCCCGACGGCGGGAGCAAGGCGACGACAGGGAGGAGAAGACGACGATACCACGACGACGACGACGAAAACGAGGACGAAAACGACGACGAAAACGACCACGAAGACGACGACGAAGACGACAGCAAAAACGACGACGACGACGACGGGACGATGACGAGACGGCGACGGCGACGATCCACGACGGCATCCAGGAGGGGATTCCACGGAATCCCCAGAGGCCTGCACCGGGCTCCAGAGGCCCCTACGGGCGCGTAACCTGGGCCAAAAGACATCAACACGTCCCAGCCCTCGATCCTCTCTGGTGACAGCGACAACGGCTATTGCGGCTGCGGAAGACGACGACGACGAAGGCGGTGGCGGCGACAGGAGGACTGCGCCGACGATGCGAAAAACCTCCTGGATCCTCTGCCCCGCCGTCGCCGTCGTCGCCGTCGTCGTCGCCGTCGCCGTCGCCCCCGCCGTCGTCGTCGTCGTCGCCGTCGTCGTCGCCGTCGCCGTCGTCGTCGCCGTCGCCGTCGCCGCCGTCGCCGTCGCCGTCGGGCCGACGCGCCGGCGGACGCGCGGCCTTCGCGCAAACGGGCGGCAGGCGGGCGGCGGGCCGGCCCGCGGGGCCCGCGCGCGAGCGCGCCCGGCCCGCCGGTCCCCCCCGCGGCGCGCCGGCGGCGCGGCCTGCGGGGCGACCCGCGGGGGCGAGCGCGCCTGGCGGCCAGGCAATCGTCGTCGCCGTCGCCGCGGTCGCCGTCGCCGTCGCCGTTGCCGTCGCCATCGTCGTCGTCGTCGCCTCGCCGTCGCGGTTTTCGTCGCCGTCGCCGTCGTCGCCGCCGTCGACGTCGCCGTCGTCGTCGCCGTCGTCGTCGTCCGCGTCGTCGCGATCGCCGTCGCCGTCGCCGCCGACGTCGTCGTCGTCGAGGTCGTCGTTGCCGTCGCCGTCGCCGCCGTTGCCGTCGCCGCCGCCGTCGCCGTCGCCGCCGCCGTCGCCGTCGCCGTCGCCGTCGCCGTCGCGGTCGCCGTCGCCGTCGTCGTCGCGGTCGCCGTCGCCGCCGCCGACGTCGTCGTCGTCGTCGCCGTCGCCGTCGCCGCTGCCGTCGCCGTCGCCGTCGCCGCCGTCGCCGTTGCCGCCGTCGCCGTCGCCGCCGCGCCGTCGCCGCCGCCGCCGTCGTCGTCGTCGCGGTCGTCGTCGCCGTCGTCGTCGCCGCCGCCGGCGCTGTCGCCGTTGTCATCGTCGTCGTCGTCGTCGCCGTAAGAGGTCTCCCATCGGCTTGCTGCCGCAGAAGGATCGGTAAAATTCCCAAGTCGTCGGTCTTCCCGCTCCAGATGCCCCCGAGATGGCCTCAAAGACGGCCAAAATGGTCCCCAAGACAGCCACGATGGCCCCAAGAGAGCCCGAGATGGCCCCAAGATGTCTCCAAGACGGGCCGAAATGCCCCCAGTATAGCCCAAGATGGCCCTAAGATCGCCCAAGACGCCCAAGAGGGCTCCAAGACGGCCCAAGATGCCTCCAAGAGGACCTCAAGAAAGGTCCGAAGAGGTCAACATCACGGATTGTCCTTAGGTGTTTGAGGGATTCTGGCGTTTGCCCATCTTCGGCTTCCAGCAGCCCAAGACGGCCCCAGAGGCCACCAAGATGGCCCCAAGAGCGCCCGAGGGGCCGCCGATGCGCCCCCCCCCCCCCCCCCGACGGCCAAAAAGACTCCCAAGAGGGCCCCAAAGACGGCCCAGGACACCTCCAAGACGGTCAAGATGGTCTCCAAGACGGCCCTGAAGCGCCCCAGGAGGGCCCCACGTCGGCACAAGAAGGGCCAAGACGGCCTCCAAACGCCCAAGACGAGCGGTAATTGCACGACGCCCGCCCCGAAGAGGCCGAAGGAGGCCTCCAAAACCTCTAAGAGGCCGTTAGGAGCGCGCCAAAAGTTCCCAACCTCCTCGTTCCTCCCTCTCGTCGGCTTACTCTTACTCCCCCAGGTGTTCCACGAAGGGCCCCCATAACGGCAACGGAACACATATTCCGATAGCGCGGCCAAGCTCTGGCCACAACATTCGGCCACATAGGCGCCTCCAAGAGGCGGGGGGCTGCGGTAATTCGCCGCAGGCGTCTTTGAAACACATAGACATACATATTCCCCAACAGTGCTTGCACTTATGGGGTTCTGACGTCGCTTTATCAACTAATCAATTCAATGTTCTGGGTTTTCGCCACGTTGCCACCCGTGCCGCCTCGTGGGCGCCCCGCGCGTGGAGGGTATGTCGAACTTGCGCCACGTTGTCACCTCGTGGGCGCCTCGCGCTTGGCAAATATGCCGAGGTTGCGCCACGCTGCCGCCCGTGCCGCCTCGTGGGCGCCTCGCGGGTGCCCCGCACTTCGGAGATATGCCGAAGTCGCGTCACGTTGCCGCCCGTGCCGCCTCGTGGGCGCCCCGTGCGCTGGGTGGGTTTCCCGAGGCTGCGACGCGTCGCCGCCTGTGCCGCCTCGTGGGCGCCCGGTGCTCTGAGCTTACACGGTGTAGACTTTACCAAATAGCTTACACCACATGAGATACACAAAATAGCTGACACCGCATAGCTCACAGAACACGGCTTGCATTACATAGTTTGCACCCCATAGCTACAGTTCGCACCTCATAGCTTACACGACAGATCTCACATCACATGTCATCACATAGCTTACACCGCTTAGTTCTCACCTCCACAGCTCAAACTAGATGGCCTGCACGATATAGCGCTCACCGGAGAGCTTACAGCGAATAGTGTTTACCTCCATTGCTTACACCACATAGCTTGCGACACTGTTTTTACCACATAGCTCGCACCGCATTGCTTCCACCTGCACAATGCAATAACACACTGATTGGGTCCCACGCTGGCGAATTTACATATATATATATACATGTATATATATGTATAATATATGCAACTCTTCTGTGCACACGCATGGTGTCGTCGCGTGCGTGATGTATGCATCGCTGTTGCGTGGGTTACGTATGTGTACTGTGCATATGTGGTATTGCTGTATGTGGGTGTTCGTGCCTTGACGTCATTATTCGTCGAGGGCGCGAGGCGAGAGGCCTGGGCATCAATGGGATGCGTCGGGCCTTGCGGCCGCAGTCTGTTGTTCATAACGTTGTCATTCGTCGAGGACGTGAGGCGAACCACCCAAGATCACTGGAACACTTGGAGCCTGTCAGCTTGCGGTCGCAGTATGTTGTTCGTCATGCTGCCATTCGTCGAGGACGCGAGGCGAGACACCCAGTATCTCTGGAACACTTGGAGCCTGCCGTCCGCAGTTCTGCAGGGCGAACGGCGCGGGTCAGGCACTTTGACTCAAAAAATATCAGCCCAAACTGGTCGGGCGGGGCGACAAGAACGTGCAGCAATCAGACCGGAGCCTGGACGGTGCTCGCCATATATGGTGTCTCTGAGTAGGCACCGCTGCAACGAATAGTGCTGAGCAATACGGCGCTGTGGCAGTGCACAGGGGCGGAAACTGGTGCGCATCCAGGAATTCAAACCGTGTTGTCCAGACCTCCTCCACCGCAGGAGGAAGAGAAGGAGGAGGAGGAGGAGGAGGCGTTCGAGAGCTCCGATAACCCACCTCCTCCGTTTCCTTTCTTCCTCCTCCTCCTCTCCCTCCTCCTCCTCCTCCTCCTCCCCCTCCTCCTCCTCCTCCCCCTCCTCCTCCTCCTCCTCCTCCTCCTTCCCTCCTCCTCCCCTCCTCCTCCTCCTCCTCCTCCTCCTCCTCCTCCTCCTCCTCCCCCTCCCTCCTCCTCCTCCTCCTCCCTCCTCCTCCTCCTCCTCGTCCTCCTCCTCCTCTCCTCCTCCTCCTCCTCATCCTCTATTTCCTCCTCCTCTATTTCCTCCTCCTCCTCCTCCTCCTCCTCCTCCTCCTCCTCCTCCTCCTCCTCCTCCCCTGGGCCATGAAGGAGGGGGGGCAGCGAGGGCTGCAGAAGCTCTGGGGCCCCTCAAGGGGCCCTTTAAGGACTGAGAGGGGGCCCTCAGGGTCCGAAAATGGCACCTGTCTATCCCCCCTTTTTATCGCCCCCCGTTCATTCGCGCCCAACTCCCCCGCCTCCCCCTCCCCCTCCATCTGCCCATGTCCCTGCCCCTCCCCCTCCCCCCCCGGCGCCAAGCTCGGGCGCGGATGCCCCGGCCCCAGTACACAGAGTCGAGGTGCTACAAGAGGAAACGCGAAATCAGGAACGGAGCCCCTTTCTGGCGCCAGCAGCGCCTGGGTACACCACGCAAGGGCGCCTAACTTCGCGCTTCGCTGTGCGCGAAGAACTTCGCGCTCTCGCGCCGCCTCTCCCAGGGGAGAAGAGGATGAGGAAGAATCGGAGCCCAATCGCGAAACACGAAGTGCGAATCGCTTCGCGCCCTCGAGGGCGCCATTGACGAGGAGGGCCAGAGGAACAACCACGAAGAGACCTGAGGAACAGCGAGCCCCTTCCGAACCCAAAGCGGTTCTTATCTCAACGTCTTGACTGTATCCGCCACCAGTGCCGCAGGCATCGAGAGCGCAGTGCCGCAAGGCCGCCTCAGCGGAGCCCTCAGCCGCGCGGGAGCCCGGGCGCCCTTTGTTCTGCCATGGGATATAGAGGCCGCGGGGTCTTTGGAAGCTTGGGCGTCGCTCAATGCGGAGGCGACCACTTTTGGGGGGGCAGAAAGGTGCACTTCGCCGGCCCTGAAGACCTCTTTTTGGGCCCGGAGGTCCTCCTCTGGGGCCCAAAGGGGCTGCTATAGAGCCCAAAGGGCCTCTTTTGGGCCCAAATGGGCCCAAAGGTCCCCCAAAGGGCCCCTTTTGGGCCTCAACGGGTCCTTTTGGGCCCTGAAGAGATTCCTTCGGGACCAAGGGTCCCTCAAGGAGCCCAGGGCCCGACCGGCGGCTCCTTTTGGGCCCAAAAGGAACCCTTTTCCGCAGCTCTCGCTGCCCCCCCCCGTTGATCGCCCCCCCATTACGCTACGCCCAAGACGCGGCCCGCCGGCGGTCTCCGGCGGCCGCGCGCTTGCCTGCGCCGCAGGGCCGCGGAGGAGCCCGGCAGGGAGGGGCTCTCAGAATTGGTTGAAGTCGAAGAAGTTGGCCGCCCCGAATTCGTCCTTCTTCATGTACCTCGCGCCGGCCACGCGCGAGAGTGATCGGCGTCGGGCCCGGGGGGGGTGAGAAAGAGACGGCCTTCTCAGAAGGCTCGGAAGTCCCCCGGCCATCCGAGAGGTTTTCGAGGCCTTTCCCGAAGTCGCAAACAACATCTCATGCAGAAGGCGCGAGGGCTTCGGAGAAGTCCCGCCGCCTTCTGAAAAAACCTTTGCCTTCTCACCTCCCCCCCTCGCTCGCCGCCGAAGTGACCCTAGGCAAGGGTGGCCTTTGGTGCGCGGCCCAAGGGGGGGCTTTGGGGACACCGCCAGGCGCGCAAGCCGCGGCTATCGCATCGTATTCAGCGATCGGGGGGCCCCAGTGGGCCCGCACCACGCCAATGGTCACTTCGGCGAAGGGTCACTCGTACGTGTAGCCGACTCGCGCCGGCGGCCGGGGCTCGCAACGCCCACTCCTCCTACACCCGGCGGGTCTCCACCTCCACCGCACAACCAAACGACCAGCACTGACTGGCCAGCCCGCGCGTCACGATGCGTACTATGGCGCCCTCTTGGCGTTCCTCTGGGCGAAATGAGGCTCCTCCACGGCGCTCGCGGAGGCACATTTCATGAAGAAGGGCGTGCCCCGTGCATGTTTTGTTATATGTAGAAATAAGCCAATACATCACATTACATAAAGCATGCATGCACATATTTGTATGTATAGAGAAGCACAACCATACAGACCTATGTATCTATAGAGAGAGAGGGAGAGCGAGAGAGAGAGAGAGAGAGAGATGCACGCACGTGTCTAACAATACGTGTCTATAGTCTATAGTCATAACTGTATATGTTCTGATCCAGGCCGATCGCACTGCCTGGGGGGGGCCCACCGTAAATACGAAAAGGCCACACCGTAAATTACATTTATTGATTGGCAGGAAACCATAATTAACATAAATTATGCGCCCCCTTCATGATGAGAACATTATGAAAACCGCTGGCGAAACTAATCGCAAGGTAGCACGGCGACCAAACTAGCGTCAAACGTGAGGCGGTGACAGGCGCAGCCCATTGATATATGACATGTGACATGTGACGATACAACTAGACCCGACGCGCATTTTCTCCCAATCTGACGCAGGCAGGCGCACCCCGCCTGCCTGTCTGTCGGTACCCGCAGGGCCGTCGCGGGCAAGCTGGCGATCCGACCCCCGATCCGCTTTCGAAAGCTCACGTTCCCCCTCCTCCTCCTCCCCCTCCTCCTCCTCGTGTCCCTCGCACTCCCTCCCCGCTCCTTCTCCCTCCTCCCCCTCCTCCTCATCCTCCGTCTTCCTCATCCATCCACTTCCTCCTACTCCTCCAACTCCTGGCGATGATGACGACGATGGCGATGATGATGATGCTGATGATGATGAGAATGATGGTGGTGATGATGATGACGACGACGATAATGATGATGATGGTGATGGTGATGATGATGGTGATGATGATGGTGATGGCAACGGCGTGATGATGCTGATGATGTTAGGAGGAGGGAGGAGAGGGAAGAGGAGGAGAGTGATGATGACGATCATGATGGTGGGAGGAGGGAGGAGGGAGGAGGAGGGGGAGGAGGAGGGGGAGGAGGAGGAGAGGAGCAGGTGGGACGCGGGGCGCTGTCTCTTCAAAACGAGGACCCAACACCACAGGATGGTTGGGAAAAAACCAAGGGGATGAGGATGAGGGCGAGGATGATGAGGACGAGGAGCGGGAGCGGGAGGTGAAGAAGAAGAGGAGGAGGCGGTGGAGGAGGAGGAGGAGGCAGGATATGATAAAGAAAATGAGGGGGAGAGAGGGGGAGGAGGAGGAGGAGGAGGAGGAGGAGGAGGAGGAGGAGGGAAAATCAAGAGTTCATCCTCACCATCTTGGGCCTCATAGGGAGCTCCACCGAAGGCCCCAGTGGCAGGGTTCGGATGCCTCCCCACCACCCATTTCGGCACACCCCTCACACGTTTCGTGACTCCATTGGGAGCTCCACCTAAGGCGTCAGTGGTTGCGTTCGCATGCCGCCCCCCTCACTTTGGCACACCCCTCACACGTTTCGTGGCCCATAGGGAGCTTCACCTAAGGCCGCAGTGGCTGCGTTCGCATGCCGCCCCCCCCCCCCCTCCACTTTGGCACACCCCTCACACGCTTCGTGGCCCCATAGGGAGCTCCACCTAAGGCCGCAGTGGCTGCGTTCGCATGCCGCCCCCCCCTCACCTTGGCACACCCCTCACACGTTTCGTGGCCCCATAGGGAACTCCACCTCAGGCCGCAGTGGCTGCGTTCGCATGCCGCCCTCCCTCCACTTTGGCACACCCCTCACACGCTTCGTGGCCCCATAGGGAGCTCCACGAAAGGCCGCAGTGGCTGCGTTCGCATGCCGCCCCCCTTCAGTTTGTCACACCCCTCACACGTTCCGTGGCCCCATAGGGAGCTCCACCTAAGGCCGCAGTGGCTGCGTTCGCATGCCGCCCCCCTCCATGTTGGCACACCTCTCACTCGTTTCGTGGCCCCATAGGGAGTTCCACCTAAGGCCTCAGTGGTTGCGTTCGCATGCCGCCCCCCCTCACTTTGGCACACCCCTCACACGTTTCGTGGCCCCATAGGGAGCTTCACCTAAGGCCGCAGTGGCTGCGTTCGCATGCCGCCCCCCCCTCCACTTTGGCACGCCCATCGCGCGCTTAGTGGCTGCGTTCGCATGCCGCCCCCCCCTCACTTTGTGCACTCCACACCTCACATGTTTCGTGGCCCCATAGGGTGCCCCACCTAAGGCCCCAATGGCTGCGTTCGCATTCCGCCCCCCTCACTTTGGCACACCCCTCACACGCTTCGTGGCCCCATAAGGAGTTCCACCTAAGGCCTCAGTGGTTGCGTTCGCATGCCGCCCCCCTCACTTTGGCACACCCCTCACACGTTTCGTGGCCCCATAGGGAGCTCCACCTAAGGCCGCAATGGCTGCGTTCGCATGCCGCCCCCCCTCACTTTGGCACACACCTCGCACGTTTCGTGGCCCCATAGGGAGTTCCACCTAAGGCCCCAGTGGCTGCGTTCGCATGCCGCCCCCCTTCAGTTTGTCTCACCCCTCACACGTTTCGTGGCCCCACAGGGAGCTCCACCTAAGGCCCCAGTGGCTGCGTTCGCATGCCTCCCCAACACCCATTTCGGCACACCCCTTACACGTTTCGTGGCCCCATAGGGGGCTCCACCGCAAACGGTGCCCACAATGCTGTACTCGCAGCTGCATATGGTTGGGTCTTTCGCCAGTCTAATTATTAATTGGATACCGAGGACCGATGGGAAGAAAGATCTCGAAGAGGAAAGAGGAGGATGAGGACAGGACAAGACAGGAGGAGGACTGCTCCTCCTCCCCTTCCTCCTCCTCCTCCTCCTCCTCCTCCTCCTCCTCCTCCCGGCCGGGGGTCGGGGGTCGGCTGCGCAGCCCCCCGTCCAGAGGGCCGGCTACGCCGCCCCGTCGCCAACTCGCGTGCGCTTCAGAGCGGCCTGCAGGCTCGAGCTCGCCACGGCATCGGCGGCGTCGGCGGCCCGCTTGGCCCTCTTCTCGGCGAGTTGCACCCTGCGCCTCTTTGCCGCCTAGCGAAGCATGCCAGGGGAGCTAAGGGGGAGGAGGACGACGACGACGAGGGAGGAGCGAGGAGGAGGAACGAGAATGAAGGAGCCTCCTCCGCCAGAGCACCGCTGCCGCTCGACGGCAGCATGAACGACACCTGGCGCTTCTCGGCGCCCTTCGCCTGGCCGCTGGAGTTCACCTTGTCGCCGTCCTTCGGCGCCTTGTCGCCGATCCCCTCCTGGCCGCCGTTCGTCGCCGGCTCGCTGGAGTTCACCTTGTGGCCGTCGTCCCCCACCTGGCCGCCGTTCGTCGCCGCGTCGCTGGAGTTCACCTTGTGGCCGTCAACCTTCGTCTGGTCGTCGATCCCCACCTGGCCGCCGTTCGTCGCCTGCTCGCTGGAGTTCACCTTGTCGCCGTCCTTCGGCGCCTGGCCGCCGACCCCCTCCTGGCCGCCGTTCGTCGCCGGCTCGCTGGAGTTCACCTTGTCGCCGTCAACCTTCGCCTGGTCGTCGATCCTCTCCTGGCCGCCCTTCGTCGCCGGCTCGCTGGAGTTCACCACCTCGAGGCCGTCAACCTTCGCCTGGTCGCCGACCCCCTCCTGGCCGCCGTTCGTCGCGTGGTCGCTGGAGCTCACCTTGTGGCCGTCAACCTTCGCCTGGTCGCCGACCCCCTCCTGGCCGCCGTTCGTCGCGTGGTCGCTGGAGCTCACCTTGTGGCCGTCAACCTTCGCCTGGTCGCCGATCCCCACCTGGCCGCCGTTCGTCGCGTGGTCGCTGGAGTTCACCTCGCCCGTCGCCTGGTCGCTGGACTTCACCTTGTGGCCGTCCTTCGGCGCCTGGTCGCTTTCCTTCGCCTGCTCGCTGGAGTTCACCTTGTGGCCGTCAACCTTCGCCTGGTCGTCGATCTTCTCCTGGCCGTCGTTCGTCGCCGGCTCGCTGGAGTTCACCACCTCGTGGCCGCCAACCTTCGCCTGGTCGCCGATCCTCTCCTGGCCGCCGTCCGTCGCGTGGTCGCTGGGCTCTACCTCGTGGCCGCCAACCTCCGCCTGGCCGGCGATCCCCGGCTCTGGAGCCGCCCCGGAGCCGTCCGTCTTGTCAACGTCCTCTTCCTTCGGGTCCTCGTCGCGGTCGCTCTCTTCAGGCTTCCTTCCATTAGCGATGTCGCTCAACTTCGCCATTGTTTTCTCCAAGAATAAAGGCACCGTGTACCCATGGTGCCTGAGCTCACCCATCGTACGTTTGAAAAAGGTCTGAAGCTTCTCTTTGCCCATCTTAGGAACATCATTAAACAACTTATCCAAGCAGTGCTTCACGCCGAGGAACCGACGGCATCTCACGGACGCTGCCCGGAGGGCCTCGTCCAACTCCGAGACCTTGAAGCCGACGGGATGCGCTTTGTGGACCTTCGCCAGGATGCCGCGGGCATTTTTCATGGTACTGACGAGCGGTGCGATTTCTTTGGTCAAAGGGTTATTCATCAGGAGGTGGCGGATCGAAGGGTCATCCGGGTTGAGCATGGCCTTGTTCTCCACGAAAGACTCTTTCGGGCAGACTCTGTTGACATCGTCGATGAGCAGCTGCGCGGCGGATAAACCTTGTTGCCAGGCCGCCTGAGCAATCTGCCCGCCCATGTCGCTCGCCCCCTTGCAGATGGCCACCAGGTCGAAGCCGTGGAAGCCTTCGATGGCGTCGCCGAAGGCGAGCGTGGGTTGATTTTCAAGCCAATGTCCAAGCCCAACCACCTCCTTCGCCAGGTTGGCTACGTTCTCCCCGTGAGCGACGTCGCCGAAATCCCACGAACCACTGCGCACCTTAGCAATCATGTGCTTGGTGCGGATGAATCGGCCAGCTCCGTCAGCGCGAGTGGCCACCAACTGAACTGCACCACTGCCGGAGAGGGACTCGATCAACTCGCCGAGGCCCTCCAGGACGGGCTCGATCAACTCGTGAACGGCCTCAACGTCAGTCTCCATCGCGATCACCGAGCGCACCTGTGAGCCGAGGCCGCCCACCCATCTTGATTTCTGATTTGCCCTCCCCGCTCCTCCCTCCCCCCCCGACCCCGCTGTGATCTGGAAGGTAGGGGGGGAGGGGGGAGCGGGGAGGGCAAATCAGAAATCTAGATGGGTGGGCGGGCTCTTGCAATGTTGCTGCCCTGGCGAAGTGACCTTATCTCCCAACCCTGTGATCAAGGAAGTGTTCGCCTTGGCGGACAGCTTGGCGATGGAACTCTGGATGACCGCGAGCTTCTTCTCGAGCTCCCGGGCTTTGTCCGAACTCACTGGGAACGACGTCCCGCGCATGAACAAGCCCGTGAAGTTCTCCTGCGAGCCACGGGTGGCAGGCGGGCGAGCGGGAAGGAAGCGGAGGAGGGGGAGGAGGGGAGGGGAGGGAAGAGGGAGAGGCGGGAAAGGAAGGGGAGAGGGGAACGAGGACGGGGGGGAGGGAGGGGGAGGGGGGAGGGAGGAGAGGAGGAAGGAGTCCTTGTCAGCGATCTTCTGAAGCGCGGCCAAGGCGTCGCGCTCCACGTCGCGCCCTGCGAGAAGGTCACCCAGCCACTTCGCGTTGGCCGACCGCGACTGCAGGAAGTCCAGCGTCTCGAAGACGGGCTGCGGAGCGCTCAGCTTCTCCCCGATCTTGCGCAAGGTCTTGATCTCGTTGTCGGTGGTAAGCTTCCACGGGGTCGCCCAGTCGGCCTCCTCCGCATCGGCCAAATGGTTGACCCACTTGCCGGCGACGTTGGCCACCAGAGTTACGGTACATGTGAGCGCATGTCCCGGGAAGTCGAGCTTGCCAGCATCTGCGCGGAGATCCTGTGTAAGTCCAAAGAAATGCGAGATCAACTCTTTCAGGCAACTGGCAATATTCGACCACTCGGCAGGGTCCTTGCTGGCGGAGGTGTGTGCCTTGATGTCCTCCACCGCCTTCTCCACCCTGAGCGTCACTTTCTGAGTGGCCTCAAGCTTGTCCATGCGGGCCTTCGCCTTCCTCAGCAGTGGTTCTCCATGAAGCCTCGCAGAGCCCAGCAAGCCTGCGATCCGCGGAGCATCACACTTAGTTCCAGATGCGTACGCATTCTCCAGCTGGGTGAAGTTCGATGGCCGCGCGCAGAGGACCTGTACGAGGTAATGAAATCCCGTCCCCCCTTCCCCCTCATATCCTCCCTCCACCGGGCCCCCGTCACTATCGTCCTACTCAAGGTCCTACTCCTTACTCGTCCTCCTCCTCGTCCTAATGCTTACCATCCCTCCGGCCCGCCTCTCCCTTGTCCTACTCCCTACTCCTCTTCTGTGACTGTGACCCCATCTTGTTTCACCCCATCCCTTTGTCCGCCTCCTCCCAATCCTCGCCCTCGTCCTCCTATTCGCGCGCCCCTGAACCTTCAAGACTTCTACCTGCTGAATGATCGCTGGCTGGAAGGACTTCGGCATTGACTGCGATGCGTACGTGAGCATCGTGGCCGCGTCCCCCACGAGGTCACCCGCAGCATCCACGTCCAGCTGGCCGTTGGTCAAGATCCCGAAGAAGCCCAAGTACACGTACTCTTCCTGCTTCTTGATGGCGTGGGATTCTGGCACGCCGAGCTCGTTGACGAGGGACTGTTGAGTTAGCAAGGCCACGGTATCCTTGTCAGCGAAGTGGTACTGCACGCGCACGTCGGCGTGCGCCTGCTTCACCAACAGGGGGAAGAGGTCGCTTCCACCGGGGGGGTCGGCCTTGACGAAGGCGTCCAACTGCATCCACGACGAGATGAACTGGCGGGCGCCGGCCCCGTCCTTCTTGACACTCCATGCCTTGTACAGCTTAATGACGGAGGACACGACCTGCAAGAGTTTCCCAGTCAGCTCCCACTCCGCAACTTCTTCCTTGGACTGGCCAGATACCAAGGCCTTCTCCTGTGCCTTCGCTGACGCCCTGCCCAACTGGCGGATCTTGACGAGATGCTGGTCTCCGAAATAAGTGGATACCGAGCTGGCTTGGATGAAGTCACTGCGCACTTCCAGCAGCAAGGCCTTCGGGCAGAGCGCGGGCCTGCCAACGCTGCGCGGCCCCGACTGCTCGGGGACGTTCCCGCCAGTGACGGCCCCCTGGATCTTCTTGTCTGGGGTGACTCTGGACGGCGCGGACGATGGCCTGGAGCCCGAGCCCCTCGCCGCCGAAGGCTTCGCCGCCGACGCTGGCTTCGGCACTTTCCCCCTGGTAAGGGCGTCTGGGTCGGAGACCTCTCTGGCCAACCTGCGCGACAGCACTGGGGCCTCCTCCTCGTCAGCATCGTCGCCATCACCAGCCTGAGGATTCTTCTTCGGCTGCTTTTTCTTTCTCTGCACGGGAGCCTCCGCCACGGCCTTCTTGCTGGGCTCGACGCTGTCGTCTTTGAAGCCGAGCAAGACGGCGTGCAACATGCCGGTGGCAGTCGAGGCGTGGTCTTCATCCCTTTGATCGCGAAGGCTCTGGAATTGCTCCTCCAAGTTGGCCTCGTCGAACTCGGGATCGTCCGCGTTAGCGAGCTCCTCCTCCTTCCGTATCTTCGAACCCCTCGATCGCTGAATCCTAAAAGGCATTATGCCGTCATCTCCGGGCACAACCACGCCGATGGTGCCGTACTTCTCGCTCACTTTGTGCCCCTTGTCCTTGTTCTCCTTTGAACGAGGGTCGCCGAAAAGCTTCGTGTACCGCTGCATTGGGTAAAAGAGGTCCTCTGGCATGAGCAGCTTGTCGTCGTCGTACTCCTCGTGGGTGAGCTTCTTCTTGCCGCCCTCGCGCTCCTTGAAGAAGCGCTTCCCCTCCTTGCGGCGCTTGACGAAGGGCGCCCGCTTGGCGTGGAAGCTCGAGTGCAGGGCCGTCGGGGGATGATGAGGGGCGAGGAGGGGGAGGAACAGGAGTAGGAGGAAGAAATGAGGGGGGGGGGAGGGGCAGGGGGAGGTATAGGGAGAAAAGATGAGGAGGAAGGGGTGGAGAAGGACTCAGCAAGAGGTAGGAGCAGGAAGAGGATGAAAATGGCAGGAACCTTGTCCTTCGCCATATTCTGCTGCAGCGGCGTCCTGTGATGCAAGTGCTTGAACTCTTTATCAAAGGTCTGCGGGGCGGGGGCCGGGGGACTCCCCTCTCCCCCTTCCTCCTGCTGCTGCTGCTGCCCCTCCTCCTCCTCCTCCTCATTCTCCTCTTCCTGCTCCATGCGTCTAGAGGGTGGGGGCGCATCGCCTCTGCACCGCGCTCTTCCAGCACGGACCATCCGCAAGCCCGCACCCCCAACGAAGTGGACTAAATGCTCATCAACAATGTTAATGTTCGCGGGCGACTCGTCATCTACCTCGCTCGCTACCACGGAGGACTCGTAAGCTACCTCGTCAACTACTCTACTACCTACCTCTCCTTCCCCCTCCTCATCGTCCCTTCCTCCCCCCTCAACCTCCCTGCATCCTCCTCCCTCTCTAGGCCCTCGCCCCCCCCCCCCCCCCCCCCCCCTCACTCTGATGCCAAGCCTTCTCGCAATAGTAGCAATTCCCGGAGACGCGTGTGCCGTCGGGCTTCCGGTCGGGGTAGGACCAACGGCACGGCTCATTCGGATTCTCCTCGTCGCTGTCCCAAGACGTTTTGCCGCACAAGAAACTGCAGGACTTCTTGGTGCCGATGCACCGCGCCTGTTTGAGCTCCGCGTGGTTCTTGCCGTCGTCTTCGTCGTCGTCTTCGCCGCTCTGCTGGACAGGCGGACGAAGGACACGACGCTTAGGGCTGCCCTGAGTCTTCGACCGTGAAGCTCTCGCAGCGACCCGAGGAAGACTAGCCAAGAGGTCCATGCCGCCAACGCACTCGGCCGGTGAGCTTGCCGAGAATCCCGGAGAAAGAACGGGGAGCTACCCAACTCCCTGAACAACATAGCAAAGCTCGAGGAGACGGCGACGGCCCAGAGGAGAGGCGGGGCAATCAACAGACTAACAATCTGACAGGCGCGGGAATGGTGATTTGGGTGGTCCAACATACGCCTTCTGAGAATTACGCCCCAGCGTCTCGAGCGTACCAGCTCGGGGGGGAAGGGCTGGCCCACAAGGCTAACTCCACCCCGCCGCTCCGACTCTGCATGACGACGCGCCCTGGACGACGGCCCCGGAGCTCCGGCCACCCGACCCCTAATCGCGATCTGTTCACGCTCGATATAGCGGAAGGGGAGAGAAGGAGAAATGGGGGTGGTTTGCGAGGAGGAGGAGGCGGAGGGGAAGGAGGGCGGGGGGGGAGGAGGAGGCAGATGAGGATGAGGAGGAGGAAGGGAGGGAAGGGGAAAGGAGGGGGAAGAGATCGGGCGACATACTGTCAAATTCACACACTGTATTTCTTCAACCTGCAGCAAGAGTCAAGAACAATCGCCGGCGGCGTCGATTCTTCCCACCAACGCAGGCAGTGCAACCAGCCACGAAAAGTAGCCTGTATGAAAGCTGGGGCGTGGCATCTACAAACACCCTATGGGATGGGCAAGGGTGGTGGATTGGCCTAACCATGGGATCCTTTCCCCTCCCTCTCGCCGTCCACCTCCTACCCCATCTATCTATCACCTTCCCCTCTCACATTGAAGTGTCCCCCACCCCGCCCCCGCCCCATCGGGGGGGGGGGGGGCGGGGCGGGGGGGCAGGGTGGATTGGGGGCGGGGGCCCCGGCCGCCCGTAGACCCCCCTCATCCTCATCCTCCCCTCCCCTCCCCCTCAGCCTCCTCCTCCGCCACCCTTCGCCCTGCGGCTGCATGCCGCATGCAGCGCAGGCGGGGTCCTCAGGCGGCCTGGCTGCTTGCGAAGTCGAGCGACGCGTCTTCCAAGCCCTCGTCCGTGGTAACCTGCGACGCCTCGCTCTCGTCGCCCACGCAGTCCTCATCCATCTGCTCCTGCTCCTGGTCCTGCTGCGCCTGGGCCATCTGCTCGTCCATCATGGCGCCGACCGCGGCCAGGATGCTGATGAGCAGGGCGACGAAGGTGAAGCCGCAGAACGCGTTGCCTGCCAAGTCCGTCAGCTCGGAGTGCTTCATGTTCAACACCTCCCTCTGGCGCTCGTGAGGGAAGCCCTGGATGGCCAGGAGCTCGCTGCCGTGGATCTCGCGGTTGACAGTGCTGCTCGTCAGCCACATCGTCGAAGAAGCTACGATGCGCGGCGTCAAGGATTCCCCGGGGGCGTTGAATGAGGTGCTCATGTTCAGATCGTCTACGCGCGCGTTCCCGTCCTTGGTGATCTGCTTCACGAGGTAGGCAAGCTCCTGTTGGCGGCGGGGAAGATACATCAAGTGAGTCTCCGCGCTCAGGTCGGGGGGCCAACGCCCGCTTCCAAGGTGGTACTGAAAAACCTCCATGTGGTCCTGCTCCCAAGCCTCCACCTCTGCGGGTTTGGTGGGCTTGGCCTTCTTGGGAGGGCGCTTGACCTTCTCGGCCTCCCGCTTCGCTTCGGCCTCCTGCTTCGCGACGCGTGTCTTCTCCTGCTCGCGACCCCACGCCGCGAGTACTTCGCTGGCATCTGGCAGAAGAAAGCTGGACACAGGCAACGGTGTCGACACCTGCATGCTCTTGAGGCGCGGCTCCACATCCGCGAGCCAAATCGGCGCCTGGTTCTCCTCCGCGACGGGGCCGGACGAGATCTTCGCACCGTAGATGTACCACCTCTCCCGGCGCGATGGGCGGACAGATCCCTTGCTGCCCTACCCCCGGATCCCCGAGTCGGGTTCCAGGGCCTCCGGCGACCCCCCGCTCCCCAAAGGGACGGAGGGCCGCGAGAACAGAAGGAGGTAGTGGAGGAGGAGGAGAAAGAGGAGGAGGAAGACGAGGAGGAGAAGGAGGAGGAGAAAGCTTAGGGCCTAGACGACACCTAGATGTCCAAACCAATCCGAACCGACCCTTAGCCGGGACGGGGGCAGGAGGGGGAGGAATGAGAAGGGGATTTGAATCCAACCGAACGCCACCTTTCGCGGCGCTGCGGGCTCCCGTAAGTGTGCGCGTCCAGGAGCGCGGCATCGCCCACGTAGCCGAGATCGTGCAACCTGTCCAAAATGAGCTCGAGGTTGCTCTTGCCGCCCCCGTCCTTTGGCTTCGCCTGAAGCCCCTTCGCGTTCTCGAAGATCACGATGCTCGGCTTCTTTACCTCCACGTATTTGAATGCCGCTTTCGCGGTCCGGCCAGTCTTGCCAGTGCCCTCCTCCACCACGCGTCTGTTCTCGGCCGCGGCGTAGTTCGAACCCGACACGCTCTTGCACTCGATGCCGCGCATGAATATGTCGCACCCTCGGATATCCAGTAACGAGTCGCTGATCACGTCCTTGGCCTTGAACTCGGGGCTGAGGAAATCCATCATGTCGCTGTACAACTCCGCTGGGCGCGCGTTAGCCAGGATCCACTTTCTTTTGAAATCAATGATCTCGCACCCGAACTCATGGACGAAGCTCGGGAGCGAGCCAGCGTGGTGCGATCTGTAGTACTCCCACAACTCCTCAAAGCAAATGATCGGCATCTCCGACCCGCCGCACGCCGTCCCCAGCCTCAGTCCCGAGCTCTTCTCGCACAGGCGGCTAATGAACTGCGTCACGTAGTTCAAGTCGCGGACGCCGATCCTCGAGTGGAAGCCGCATATGGCCTTGTAGAGATGCGACTTCGGCGCTGAGACGACGTCCTGGGCGCCGTTCAGGAGGATGACTTCTGAGCCAGCTGGCGACAAGATGTGTTGGAAGAAACTGTCCTGGCGATTGCTCTACCGTTCCTCGTTGGCGTCATCCTGCCTCCTCCTCCTCATACTCCTCCAACTACTCGCCCCCCTTCTGCACCTCCTCCTCCTCCGCCTCCTCCTGCACCTCCCCCTCGCTCATCCCAGTACCCATCCTAAGGGTGGCGACCCAAGCCGCCGGAGAGCTACGAACGGCGAGGTATAACGCCGCTTCCCCTGCCCCATTCCTCGACTCCATCCCACTGCCCTGGCATCACTCACACTGTCCTCGCCAATAACCTCGGCGTCGCCGTCGCAGTCACTGTGGATGTCGAACACTGAACGCCAATCGGACGGCAACTCAAATGTGACTGACATCGTCTCTGCGCCCGAAAGGACTGGCGGAGCTCCGCTGATTAATGTGCGAGGAGAAGAAGCACTGCCGTTTGTCCAAGACTCCTGCCATCTTCCCCTGACCCGCCTCCTCCTGCCGTTCCTCTGCCCCGGCCATCATAAGCCCCCTGAGACTTGACGCATGTGACATTGTGACATTGTGGATATTTATAAATATATATGTTCGATATATGTAATTTCTGTTGATTTGTGTTGGTGATTTTTGTATTTGTGTAAACGACCTCTGGCAATCTCGCGAGATTGCCGGAGACCCCGCGGCGCCCGATACATCCCTCAAAAACCGAGACCCTGGCAATCTCGCGAGATTGCCGGAACCCCCCAAACCTAAAGTACAGAAACCCGACCTCAAAATAACATAAATTCCGAATATTCCCGTAAGTGATGGAACCGACTCTGGACTACCCAAACGGTTTGCCCGCGCCGATGTGTCCTGCGAGGCTGCCCCAAGGCTGTCCTCGCCGTCCTCGGCGCGCGGGGGCGTGCCGAACTCCTGCGCCGGGGCTGACTCCGCGACCGCGACGACCTCCTCGTCGCTGGCGAGGATCGAAGGCGAACGCGGCGAGGGGAGCCCCAACATGCCCTTCAACCCAAAGGCCAGGGGGGATGCCTGCCAAAGAAGTCTCGAGCAAAGGCCGCAAGCGGAACATAACAATCGAAGGAAAGCACGGCTTGCTCACAGTGTGTCCCAACAAAGAAAGGGGAGCTGCGCAAACTCGCGACCCATGCAGCGAGA